ACCCTTTAGAGTTCCTCTCTCTAAAAATTTATCTCCCTCGCGAGCTACCGTAGTAATCCAGATTCTGGCCAATCACCATTGTGCACCGGTGGCCAAAATCTGAAATAGTGCTGAAAAAATAAAAAATTTCTAAAATTTGATGTATTTTTTAGATTTTGGTTGTCGAAAAATTTAACGATCGTAAAAAAATTCAAATTTTTTTAATTTTCAACAACTCAAAAAATTTTGAAAAAATTTCAAAAAAAAAGTTTTAAGCACTCTCCTTTTAAACACCTTTCTCACACTAAATTCTTAAAAAAAAAAAAAAAAGTCATAAGCCTTCTAGATGAAGTTTTTAGTTTTCATTTTTTTTTGTTTCTGTAAACAAAAAAAAAAAATCTATTGGTGGTTTTTCTTTGATAAAAGGATTGTGGTTTTTTTTTTTTTTTTGCTTGCTTGTATTTTTTTGGCTCAGACTTCTCCCTTTTTTTTTATAATGTTCCCTTAGGTTTTTTTCTCCTCTTTTTTTTTTGTCATGTATTCTTCTTTGTTTTTTGTTTGTTTGTTTTTTTTTTTTTTTTTTTGCAAAACTTAGCTTCATTTATAAAGTTTTTGAAATTCAAATATCAGATATTTTGAGATTTTTTATGAAAAATTTTGAAGATCTATCTGGTGACTTTTGATCATCGGATTTTATGCTGTCAAGTTAGTCAGTATCATGGGAGAAAAAACTCATTCTAACAGCTTGATTTCAGCTGTCAAAGTTGAAACATAATATTTTTTTTGTTTTGACTTTTTTCTCTTTTTTATTATTAATTTTAATTATTATTATTATTATTATTTGGAGGACAAAATATGTATCTACACTAAAGATAGTTGCTTGACCAACTGTGCAAATTTAGGGATTATTTGATATTATTGTATATTTTAGATTTTATATTTTTAAATATTTCGTTTTATTTTTAATTTATTGAATTTGAAAATATGATTAAATAGAATATTTTTGTTTTGTAAATGTGAAAATAAAAATATGTAAAAGAAAATTATTATAATTTTTAGACTCAGCTTGTTATTAATAATATATAATAATATTAATATAATATATTATTTATGAATATAATATTTATATAGTAAAAATATTATTTTATTAATAAAATAATTGTAGCATTATTATAGTGGTTTAATTGTAATTTCTGTAAATAGTATCAATACAGTAATAGTGTCAAATTGTTTTCAAAAAATTGAAAATCCAATTTTTCTATTTTGAATAATTTTCAAAAATTTTCAAAACTTTGTTTTCAATTTTCAAAAACAAAAAACAAAAATAACCTACTAAATAAGTTTTTATTTCCAATTTAAAAAAAGTTTAAAACAAAAACGAATACGTTATCAAATGACCTCTTAAAGAATCATGTTATTCTCTTTTTAAAATTTTGAATCCCGTATCGAATATTGTAAGGCTCATTTATTTTTTACTCCTCCGTTACGTTAGGTTTTCTCTTCATAATACTTAGGGCTCAATTTTATTTTTTTAGCTAAAATTTAATTTCCTGGTTGAGATAATAAAGAAACCCATTAGCATGGTTTTAAACCACATTAAAAAAAAAAAAAACACATGCCTCCTCTTTATCTTGAAGAGATTTACCATAACTATAATTGATTTAATCTCAAATCTAAATTTGATAAAATCATTTGGTTTTCACGTAACATATCTTTATTTTAATTATATAATCTTTCTATAGTTTAATCAAGAAAGTGAAATGTTTGATTTTGTTTTTGACAAGCGTAAGTATAATTTTGATAACTTATTACTTATTCAATGGTAATTATTCTTATAAATAATAGTATATACATTGTTTTACAAAAAAATTAGATAGAATAACATCTACATTGGTTAGAGCCCAATGAGATGATCGATGGGTCTAAAAGAAGTCCAAGGATCATCAATGCCTTCCCTGGCCATTTTAGAGATATGCTGAGGGCAGCAGCACTCCACTCATCCATTTTCTCTTTTTAATGACCTTGATTTAAGCTTTAAATTTAATCCTAAAATTTTGGGATTTTTTTTACAGAAAATTTGATTCTTATACAATGATTGTGGAGTATTTCATTCCATAAGGATATTAGAGGATCGATAATTATCTTATTAAGGTAAATTTATAAAAATTAATTAAAAATAAATTATTAAGGTTAATCTATTAGTAAAGTTTGAATTTTCCATAATTTAATCTAATCTACCAGAGAATTTAGAGCCTATCTAAAATTCAGTCTTTTAAATCAAGAGTTTTTAATAGATTAAAAAGCTTTAGAATCATTCCCTGTAGAATAGTTGCATCTCCCAATAAAAAAAACTCATAGAAAGGGTTAGAAGCTGAGGAATAGGGGATTTGAGGTATATATTTTTCATATTCTTTGAATTTATTTTTCTTGTTTTCTTATTAAGTGATTTCTTTATTCAGAGATGGCGCGCCCCCGGAGTATTTTAAGTGTTGCTGTGATAAGAAATACTTGTGGTGTTGGACAACAAACTTTGGCATTTTATTGTGTCCTTTTTGTCACAACTATTGTTTTCATCTTAAAATCTGCGTTCAGGACTTTGTCAATTATCAAAATCAAACAAATGCTTGAAACCAGTAAAGTTTTTTGGTGTGTTGTAGCTTGTGTAGCTTCAGCGGCGGGGGTGTATGTCTCTCTTATTCACCAAATTTGGTGTTAAATACTTGGGACCATACTATCCCCAATGGGTTCTTGTGTGGTTAGAGCCTGCTCAAATGTTAAACATGCTTGCCATGGATGATAGTATGGCATGGTTATGGCAACATCGATGTGGACCGCTAGGAAAAATGATTCGATGTAGTGTGATGTTACTTTTGTCAGTCCTGTTTCAACAGTTTCAAGATCAAAACCTGCGAGTTTAATCGTCACCTTCTCGTTTGCTGTCTATTTATTGAGCATCATTCGCTTGACTCGTCCATCCAAAGACTTTGAACTCTTCAATTTTTACAGTAGTGCCAGTTTAGGAGTCATATTTAAGAATCATGGCTTTTTTAGTTTGAGTTTTTGGCTATTCTTTTTGGTTTGTGTAAGTCTAATGGGACTCAAACATTGGCTTGAGGAATCTGAATCCGCAAGCAATCCCAAGTGTTTTCTTGACATTGCCATTGGAGGAGAGCGTCAGGGAAGGATCGTCATTGAGCTATACAAAAATTTGGCTCCTCAAGCTTGTCAAAATTTCTGGGCACTATGCGCTGGAGAGAAAGGTTATAGTACTAAAACTAAAACCAAACCATTACAAGGTAATTTTCATTTCAATTTGTTCATTGGTTATATATTTACTACTAATGCTAATTGCTAGTTTGGGAAATTTCTTGCAGAATGCTCGTTTTGATAGAATCATAAATGGTGTCATGGTAGTAGGTGGAGACATTTCATCGAGCTCTGGTGGCGAATCCATCTATGGGTTAAGTTTTGTCGCTGAAACTTGTTACTTAAAACATGACAAGAAAGGTTTGCTCTCTATGGTTATTCAAGGTCCTAATTCTACAATCGGCTCACGATTCCTTATAACAACTGCTCCTTGTTTGGAACTTGATTCCAAAAATGTGGTGATTGGGAAAGTTGTTAAGGGAATAGGTTTGTTAAAAACAATTCAGAAGGTGCCTGCTGGTGAGAAGAATCGTCCTGTTGAGGCTGACTCTATGTGATTGTGGAGAAATTCGGTATGGTGAAGATGATGGCCTTAAAAATTATTTTGGTGATGGCGATTTATTCTTGGATTGGCCTCACGACATCGACAGTAAGCCTTGTGATTACCAATGGTGGAAAGGTGCTGCCTCTACTATCAAGGATAAAGCAGTACACTTACATAAGGTAGTAGACTAAAATTTTCTCTTGCACATCATTTCAATCGATAGTTTTTCATTTATATTATAAATAGATATTTCCAAAAAAAAAATAAAATCTGGATCTGCCATTACATGAACTCGTTCCATGTGAGTTATAGACAATGGTTCTTTTTTTTTTTTTAATTAAATTCTGCTTATTCTTGGTGTAAGTAAATTTTATATTTAGTGATGATTTGATCACATATTATTGATTTCCTTTGCCCTGGAATGTTGATATTGCGTGCTGCATATGTAGGCCAAAAACTATAAGATGGCTCTTAAGAAATCTGAAAAGGCAATACGTTATTTGAATATGACTTTGTGCATTGATAATGTAAGATGTGCACGAGAATACAACAATGGAGGTAAATTTCATTTTCCTTTTAGCAATTTCAATCAACAAGATTTTGCCAATTTGATGATTTAATATGCCTAATAAGTTTATTTTTCTGAACTTACAGATGCATCACATTTGGCAAAGTTGTAGTCTCAACTATCTTTGCAGAGTGCTGTAAGCTATTTTATTTATCACTTTAAAAGAAAATAATTCATATGTCCTGTTGACCTACTTAAATCACCTGATATAAAATTGGTTTCCTTCAAATTTCTCTTTGCTATTTGATTCTTTAACATATAAACTCACTGATCTATACTATTTCCTTTACCTTAGGCCTGTGGATTAGAGTTAGGAAATCCAAAAGAAGCTTTGTCAGAAATTCTCTCTCGAGTGCACGAGGGAAAAGAGAAGATGGAAGCTTTGCCTTTGCAAGCCAAGGTTAGTCTCCCATTATCTTCCATCTAAACATGTCCACGGGTAACATGTCCAAAATTAATCTCAATATGCATGTGATCCTATTTGTCTTGGGCTTACAAGGCACTTTATAACTTGAATGCTGCCGCCCAGTCCCTTGAAGAAGCAATGAAATTCAAACCAAATGAAGGTAGGTTAATTTCTTCAACTTTTGACTTGTATTCCTGCTTCATGATCATCACTGCTATATATCCATAATATTGGACATTACCTGTTTTCTGATTGTAGTGAGAATTTTGGAGTTGAACAGTGTGACGGAGAAGGTTAGTGAAATTACCTATTTTCTATCTTTTTTCTTTTATGTCCATTTCCCATTGACTTTGTTTCCAATTCATCTGGTTGCAGACGTCTGAAAGGCATGGCAAAAAATTACCCGAGGACAAATGCTGCAAACCAAGTGAAGAGGTGTGGCACCTGGTTTAATTAGTTTAGATCTCAAGGAAACTGATTTCAATATGCTTTTTCTCTGATGTGAGTTCAGGAGTGTTTTGCTTGATTTGGACTATGAGCATGATGCCTCTGTTTTCGTTTTATTTTTAAATTTTTCTTTAGACTAATTGTTAATCTGTTATATATGTGGTTTTAAGCTTTATTTATGCTACTAATTACCTGTTATGTAATTAGTTAAAATTTTAAAAGTTCGAAAATCCCATTGACAGTCTTTGGAGAGGAAAAACAATGAATTAAATTTCAGGTTTTCTATTGCCAAACATTAAAAAAAAAAAAAAAAAACTACAAGGAAAAGACTGGAAACAGGAAACTGTCTCGGAGAAAAACCCTTGTTTCTCTTGAGCTTAACAAAAACAATGTTGAAGCATCTGACTGTCAGGTCTTGAGAAAATGAGCAGCTAAGAGTTTTGTAACTGTGAAGCCATGGAAGGTTTCAACATCAAACAGTTCTTTCAGCTTCTCATCACATATTACTTTCCTCTTGTCAGATGGATCCTTCATGAAAAAGTAAAGAAAAGTTTGGACATAAAAATTCTTGTTGTTTTTGAAACCCAGTACCATATTATATACCCAACTCAAAAATAGCAGATTCAACTGATAGATAAATGGATACCAAAATGTTCAATAAAGAATGACTATAGTGAGTAGACTACTATTATGCAGCGTTATGATCAATAAAATAAGTCAAAGGCTACTATGGTATATTGCATGGTGGGCAATAAGATACCTGGAGGTTGTGTTCTTTTATGTAATCCCACATTCTCTTTATTACAACAGCCCGTGTAAGCTCATTTTCTCCAGTACCCAGAAATTTTACTAGAGCATCTGAAAGTTGAAGAGGAGCAAGAAATCCCTTTTGTCGTTTTTCCTTTCTTTGTGGCTCATCTGGATCTGAAATGTCAAAGAAGAAAACAGCAACAACAGAAACGTCAAGAACCTAAAATGGTGAACTTTCAATCAACATACCTTCTTTGTTTACAAGTTCCGCATAGAAGACCTTTATTTAGTCATTTACAATCCATACCTTCTTCTCTCTCATGCTTACATTGCTTTTCCTTCTCCGTTAACTTGACTGAAACAACTGTGACATGAAATCCAATATAGTTAAATTTGTTATAGACAAGTTGTGAATGTAAGCCATACTAACTCCTCATGTCATGCAGAACAAGTTCTGCACAGAAGACCTTTTTATAGTCATTTACAATCCATACCTTCTTCTCTATCATGTTTAAGTTGCTTTTCCTTCTCTGTTGACTTGACTGAAACAACTGTGACAAGAAAGCCAATATAGTTAAATTTAGCACTTCATAAAGATAATTGGTAGATTTGCATTATAAAACATTTGCAGCATATTGATCAAGACACAAAAGATATTCTCCCTTGATTTAGTTGAAAATTAGTAAATAATGCCCCTTATTTCCAGAGGGAGAGAGAGTGAGATGAAAAATAATAATTCCAAGGTGACAACAATAGCCAATTCTGAAGAGAATCAGCAGTTTCACAATTTAAAAAAAAGTAAGGAAATTTGAGCCCAAAATCTAATATATCAAATGACACTATCTAAAAAAGTTCAGCAAATGCAAAATGGTAGAACGGACAGATATGCTAGTACCTTCATCTGAATCCAAGGGCAAGATATGCTTTGACAGGGCTTTGTTCATTTGAAACATGTCAATGGAACGTACACCAAAAAGTGCATATAAAGGCTCGTCACAAATTATGTTTTTCTTGTTATCTGGGTCTTGCAAATTTTTCTGTCTGATATAAGCCCATATTTGCTTGACTACCTAGCACCAATATAAATCAAAAAGCTTAGAACAATGCTACTTCCTTAATTAGAACAATGCTACTTCCTTAATTATGAAATTAACAAGAAGCTAAAAAGAAATTTCAGGATGTTTTAGAGGTACCTCAGTCCTCGCCAATGTAGAGACTCCTACAAGCTCCTGAAGTTGTGGGGAAAGGCTACATACTTTGTTAAAACCACCTCCTCTTCTTTTAACTTCGTTGTTGACTCTTTTTGACCTATATATAAAATAAAACAACCATAAATTCATAAACTAGCAACCATAATTTTGATGACAATTGCAACCTCTGATTCAGCACCCTACTAAACTAAAAAGCTTGCATGACAATGTATAACGAAAATTCTTGGCCTAGGTATATTCTAGATAAATTAGTGGATTCGAGGAGACAATAAGCTGCTGATATAAGATCACCACTTCACACAAAATCACTTTTAAATATGCTCACTGTCCAACATGAAATAGCAATGTATAAGCTGTAGCAAAAGTCTACACAAGAATTCTGTCCAACATGTCAGACATGCAACTTTAGATAAGAAATCATTTACTCTGGACGGCATCTTTAAATACAAGCGAATTATCTTGTTTGCAGGGAAAAAATGGAGTCTCTATTGTTACAATTTAAGACCAACTCATTTCCTTCTTTCCAGCTCCCAAAACATCAAAGAATGACAAGAAAACAAGATATTCAGATTGTCCAGGATTCTCAGGGGTCGAAATATACATATTTAGACTCAAAATTTATAACATGATAACCAGAGCTTAAATGCTCCTCTGTTTCCTGTTCCAAAGGCCAAATTTCAAGTACAAAGGGATAGAGAGAAGCTTTTAAAGAATTTACAATCAACACAAAGATTTCATCTTTAAAATTTATCTAACACCAGCACCTAAGAAATCTTACTACAATTTATACGGAAAAAGGAAAAAAAATGTTTCCATAAAATAAAATGTGTCAATGCCCAAAGCATGATTAGGTGCTTATGAAATATTAATTAAAAAACTGACCCTTTCTTTGTGGAAGCCCTTTTATTCCTTGCTTTTTCACTCTCCTCCTCTTCCTCGTTCGAATCAGAGCCGTCGGTTTCCTCTGATTTAATCTTCCCCGTCTGATCATCTTCTTCGTTATTTTCATCATCTTGTTCCTGCTCTTGTTCTTCTTGGGCATTTTCGAACTGGCTTTGGAGATATAAGTCGACTTGTTCCCTAATAAACTTCTTTTTCTCTGATAAATCAATCCCGAAATCTTCCTCCAATCTCCGCCGCACGATTGCGGTCGTCGTCGTGGTCAGGTCCGATACTTTCAAGAACGCCCGGAGTCGGGCGATTAGCTCCGATTCCGGCACCATACCGGCTGGAATCCGAGCCTATAATTGTTTCCCTACGGTTTTCCGAACTTAGGTGGCCGAGAAGATTATGTTGCGGGCAGAAAAACGAAACAAATGTGAAAAGGTTGGCTCACCCGTTACTCGTTTGGAGCGAATATTGAGGGTGTGCGGCCTACACAAGTTTACACTCGCGGCCTTCCTCGTCGGATTTTTTAATCTTACTGATTTGCCCTCGCGTTTACACCGAAATTCAAATCCAAACCTTGCTCTTTTTTTTTCTCCTACAAATAAAGCCGCATTTACACGCGGCAAATTCCTGAGCCTACAACATTGACGGGAATATTAAAATAATAAAAAAATAAAGTGTTGTTTTAACTTACCTTTAGGGATAGACTACGACTTTGAAATTGGTCCAAATCGTTTGATGGCTATGACTAAAGTATTCAGAGAGAAAGACTGTGACAACGCTGGTCTCAAATTGCCATGGTCCATTGAGTCCATTATGTTCATAAAATAAAGCTTTATACATGAAAATAAAGGTTGCTTATACAGCATCCAAGAAAAAACTCATAAACATGTCTGAAGCCAATTTAAGTTGATTTCTTCTTCATGAACTTTTACCCTTAGATTGGTGAGATCAGATTCGAAAGAATACCATTGATAGGATGTCTCCTCATCACAGATGACATCCTTCAAATGTTGAAGCTTTTTAATTGTTGAAGGTAGGTTACAGCTGGAGCACCCTCTCATATAGAGCTTGCTTAGATTGTGCAGTTCACCAATCTGGATTGGCATGTTGATGATGCTTAGACAGTCGGAAATGTCAAGAACAGTAAGCTGGGATAAGCTCCCAATGGTCTCAGGCAAGGTCATGAGGTCAGTACAGGATGTTAGTCTTAGCACTTTCAAGTTAACCAGCTTTCCAATGCCTTCAGGCAGTGCACGAAGCTTGTGGCAGTTGGTGATACTAAGCTTCATCAGTTGAACAAGATCACAAAACCCACCAGTCAGTTCCACCAGATCATCACAATAGTCAATGTCAATTTCCAAAAGATTTGGAAAAGTATCCGACATCCTGTAAGTACCGTTCTTAAAAGCTTGACCTATATTACACATAACCAATGATATTTTTCGCAAATTCTTAAGGTGTAAAGAGCTCATGCTTAGGGAAGGGACTGACACCTTCTCCAACCTCATTCTGGTTAGATTGGACAAAGAACACAGAAGTGGAAAGTTACTTAATTCGGTTGGGTAGATACCATTATTCATGACTATCAAAACCTTCAATTTCTCCATTTTTTCCATGAAGACAGGCAAGGTGTAGTTCTTTGTCCGAAAATTTAGAACTAGAACCTCAACTTCTGGTGCTTGAATGCTGCCCCAATTGAATGAGAATGTTTCATCTGTGATTAGGCGGCATAAGAAGTTAGTAGTAGGAGTAAATTTCTTAATGTGTGTGTATGTGTCTGAAGGTTGGAGAGGTACAGATAACAACCTGTGGAAATAGACAAGAGGCGGGCACCAAGAGGTGGTTGCTTTTCTTCCAACCACCAATTGGGAAAATTATTGCTGCTTAGTTCTACAATTAACCTCTTTCTTTTTTCTACAGGGTCCAAGCTGCTCAGATAGATAACCAGCTCTCTTAGAAGATCATGCTGCATGATGAAGTGGTCATTGTAGTAGCCATCAGCTTCACTTGCATCTTTCCTGGTGAAGAAGAACAATAAATCTGTTGGTAAAGACACAAACATGTATACCATAACTAATAACTTTGTGCCTATCTAATAAAGGAAGCAAGTTTGAGGATTTGTCCCATTTGATTTGCATTTAGATTAATGGAATTATTGGCTACAACAGGAGAAACCCCTATAATATGAATAGATTTGAAGAAAATAAAAAACATAACTAGTAGAATAAGCAACATAGCTAGCTGGAATTATTGAGAAGGGTGGACATGGATGTTAAAGTTACAATAGATAGAAAGTAGAAGCCAACTAGCATACCTCATGACTACAAGATTAACCAGATTCCTGATGGAGAATTCATGGAGGATGACAAAGGCATCATTATCTTCATCAAGTTTGTGCTGCTCCACCCACATATCACTGAGTGCAGTGGCAGGAATCATATGATCTTCAGGGAATGAACCTAGGTCCAGGTAGCAGTCCTTTAATCCTACCATACTATCCAGGGCATCTAAACTGCTTTCAAGACATGCAAGCAGTTCAGAGCTAGAATGAAAGATGGGTAGCCCTTTAGACAGCTGCTTTTCTCTACTTTGCCAAACTGCCACAGGCTGCCCATAAAGTGATCTACCAACGACTTCAAGGGCCAGTGGGAGTCCCTTACAACTTTTCATTACCTAAAACACAACGCAAAACATTACAGTCATTTTTTGGAGGTTCAGGAAAACACTCTAATTAAATAACCTAGGTATCCAAATATCAACAATTGAACCTTTTGATCTTTAATTTAACTTATAGAGGCAAATCAACAATGAAACAGAAAAGTGTTTAATGTTTCATACAAGGAGTGAAAGTTAAAATAAGTCTTCAGATTGATAAAAATACCTTATTCACGAGATCTTCTGGAATGTAAGGATTTCCATTTTGCGAGAATGCAGAGTGGTGAAAAAGAGTCATAGCATCATCATCATGTAATGGTTTCAAAATATATGTAGAATCAAATCTTGCAAAAGCAAATCTTGATGTTACCAAGATCTTGTAATCTGGCAATGAAAACTTGAGCTTGTCAACAAGGGATTCAGATCCAGACCAAACATCGTCCAGGATCAGTAATATGGGATCAGTTGCCATTTGCCTTAAGTTTTGCTCCAATTGGTTCAAGGCATCCTCCTCACTTTGAAATTCAGGCATTCTATGATCATTAACTTGGAGTAATTTCCGCAAAATGATCTCCACGTTGGGTGCCTTCGAAACATTGACATAGAAGATGTTTTCTTTAAATTTTCCTGTTCAAACACTGCATTAGAAATCTGCTAAAGTTTCATAGATATTTTATAGCGTTTTGTAAGTGACAAAAATATTCCCCCATAGCATGAGAATTCAGTAAAATTGAATCCAAGATTTCTCAATTTCTTGCCTAAGTAAGATTCCAGTTGAAGACCACACCAGGGAAAACATCCCAATTACTGTCCAAATGACTCACAAAATTTCTTTGCCAAATATTTGAACAGTCATCTAGCTATTCTGTGCACGATGTCTTACATGGCAGGGTATTCAATTCAAATTGACAAAAAACAACATTCCAAATGAATTTTCAGAACAAATATTTTCTTCTGACCCCCATCATATTCAAATTAAGCCAGGGAAATCACTCTGGTTTCCATATTGGACATGAACAAATCAATAGATGTCCATCACACAATAAAAAAATTCAAGAACCAGAAACTAAAGTCAAGAATAGACAAGCTAAGAACAGGAAATGATACCTTTGACCTTTTCATCTCGACATAGCTCTTTAACCAACGTTGTCTTTCCGGATCCTCCCGGAGCAGACACAACAATGACTGATACCCCATCTTTGAAAAGCTTCACCTTTAGCTCTGCCAAGGGTACATCGAATCCAACAACTTTCCCTGGAGGCTCGGGAACTTTGCATGAACCCACAACTGCAACCTGACTAAACATCCCATTCTCGCTACCGGACCCCTCTTTCGAACTGAATCTTCTCACTTCCATACTCAACCCTTTAACTCCAAATAGCACATCTTTAATGTCTCTCGTTTGCTGTATTTGCAAATCAATCTGACAGAAGAGCTGAAGCGATTCCTTGAATCTTTGAAGTTTGTATGTATAACAAGTCTTCTTGAAGAAGTTCCACCTCTGGATGTTAGAGCACTTACTGACAAGTTTGTTTCCTTTGAGGATGATTTCGATGAGCTGCTTTGTTTCGTGCTCCTTGTCAAGTCCTTTGTTGAGTGATTCTATGTCTTTGATTATTGGCTGAATGTCTAATAGCGTGGAATTCAGTTCCTCCAAGACATCACGGAACATGGCAGCTGTTTTAATGGCTTCTACAACCGCTCCAACCAGCTCCCCAAAACCAGCCTCTAGAGCAGCTCCTCGGAATAAAGCTCCTGCCGTAATAATCTTTAGGGAAACCCAGAAAAGGAAATTCAAGAAATATCAATGTTTTCATCTGAACATGGCAAGAATTGCCATAAAATAAAAACCCACCTCTATTCCTTAAGGTCTGGGAATCTTTTCGAAATTTCCTTAAGGTCTGGAATCTTTGACCACAGCCTTTTAGCTTCATTGTAGAGGAAGAAAGTAATTATTATAATTATTGGGGTTTAATAAGATTTTCCTCCCTTCTTGCAAGCTCTTGAAGCGTTTGTTGTCTTGTTGACTTTAAGTTATCCAACGACTTAGTTACAGACAAAGGGACAAAAGGTATACATCTTAGGATTTACACTACTGTTCCAACCCACGCCCCAACAGCCAATAATTCAGCGAAAAATCTTCACTACTAAAATAAATAAGTGAAAATTTTCATTATTCAAATGTAAATAATACATTTATAACTAAATTTATGATTGTTATTTAATAATTTTAAATTAAATATAAAAAATAAAAATTAATTAAAAAGTAAAAAATGATTTAAAAATATTAATTATTGAGCTAATTAAAAATATATTTATTATCTTTAAGTAAAATCATAATTTTTTATTTTTTAAGTAGTAAAAAAGATTTTTTTTCACGATAATTTATTAATTTGTGATGGAAGAAAACGAAAAAACTTGAAAAAAGAAAAAAAATCCCTCTTTTTAAAAAAAGAAGAAGTTTTTTAGATTCCAAAGTTATTTGTTTTACCAAAGTCATATAGAAGTTTTAAGGTAATTTTTAACTAATTTCAATGAAAATGTATTTTTATTTTTTCTAAAATATTGGGTGTTCCTTTGTCAAGCTGGATCTGGATTCTAGAACATTGAAAACAAATGAAAGCTTGTTTTACTGTGCTTGGGCCCAAATTCATCTTAAATTGGGCCTTCATCTCTTAATAAAATTATTGATTTTCAAATTTCCCGTCAAATTACAAAAACCCATAGTCAAAGTCACATTATTCAACAAGATCTATAAATATATGATTAGATATAGTCTAAAAAATCATCATCACTCTTTTTTATTTAAATATGATTAATTATCTAATTAAATTTATCATATTTTAAAAAAATATTTAAAATTTAATTTAATTGTTTTTAAAAGATACATTTTAATTTATGAAACCTAGTAATTCTGAAAGTATGATTATATATGAGACATATTATAGCATTTCACAATACTCATTTAAATAATAATATTAGTTTGATTTCATATTATTCAAATCTTAAAACATATTTTTATTTTATTGATTAATTTAATTATTAAAAATTATTCTTAAAATTATTTCAATAATTTGATATATAATTTAAGATAATTTTCTTATCTTAAAAGAATTTATAGAGATTAATATCTCATTCTTAAGAGGCTTCTTTAATAAATTCATTTTATGTCTTTAAAGAAAATAATCATTAGAAAATAACTCAAAATTTAAATCTTTTAATCCTTCAATAAAATTGAAAAATTATTTTTTTTCAAAAAATTCATTGAGCTCTCTAATCGTTTAGTAATACTTAATTCGATATTTAAATTCTTCAATAATTTTACAGAATTGAAATTTTGTTTATATTTTTCACAAAATCTCATTATGAAATTTTTTAATAATTTAGTAAAATTCATAAAAAAAATTATAAAACTCATGAAAATTCTTTAATAATTTGATAAAATTTATGAGTTTATTTAAAAATATTTTTTTGAAAAAATTAAATAAATTTTAAATATAAATAAATAAAATAAAAATAAAATTAGCAAAAAAAGAGTTAGCTTGACCTAGAATTGTGGCTCAACTACAGGAATAGAACGCAGTCGGAACAATAGGCTTGACTACGTAGATGGCTCAGCTTCAGTAAAGGATGCGAGTTATCGGGTCATATGAATGGGTCGGGTCAGGTTATGGAGCAACACGCCGACCCTGTGGATTTTAAACATCTCAAAACGATATCATTTTACGTTTGTATAAAAGGCTTTAAAATTTTGTTTTCCTTCCCAGAATCCCCTTATTTTCTTTCTTTCTCTCCCTTTCTCTCTCTTCCTTATGTTTTTTTGTTGCTTCTTTCTTTAAAAGAAAAATCTGGTGGTCAGATACTGGGAAATTCACCAGGATCATGCCAAAATTCTAGAATGGTCACCCAAATCTGCAAAAAATCACTAAAAATTAGGAATTTGGCCGGAATTTTGTCAGAAAATTCAAAATTGGTTAAAAAATTCAATCCTAAAATTCAAATTTTTAAAAAAAATTCAAAGATTTCCAGAAAAACATAAAAAAAATCACCAATTCAAGTCTTCTAGCTTCCTGAATTTTCGAATAAACGAATCATAACTCTTATAACTTCCTTTAATTCTCAAAAATTTCCTCAGAAACTCTTCTGCTAGAAAAATCTTGTTGCTCTCTTCCTTGAGCTTCCTCACTCGCTATTTCCTCCTTTAATTGCCATATATTGCTTTGATTTTTTTGTTGTGTGTTTTGATTGTGTTAATTTGCCTGTCTATTTATAGGAACAATCAAGAGAATTCTTCTTGATTACTTAGGATTAAATTTTTTTAAATTCTTGCATTATCCGAAATAAAAGTCTATAGAAATTTAGATTCAGATCAAATTATCACAAACTCAACTTTATCACTCAGTTTATCACTAACCACTCTTCCCAATTTATTTTCGGCCACTTAATTTTTTTTTTAAGAGTTATCCCGTTTAAAAAAAATGGATAAATATTCAAAGATAAATAAAATTAAAGATAAATCATAATAAAAATAAAAGTTTAACACAGACAAAGAACAAAATAAAAATAAATAAATAAGATAGATATGCACATAAATAAATATAAATAAAGTCAACTATAAAATAAATAAAAAAATAAAAAAATTCAGTAATTGGTCTTGGAATGAGTTCTAGTTTAACCAATTTGGACTTTTGAATCTAAAATTAAATCAAGTTCTATTGACTTAGACCCCAAATTAAATCGAATATCTACACACCAAAATTTTCTTAAACTATGAGATCAAGGAATTCCAGAAATTTTCATTCCTTACCTTTATTGCACCAAAACCAAGCGATAATCTCTTCTTCATTTTCTTCTCAAAACCAAACTCATAAAAATTTTTCTGGGAAAAGAAGAGTCGAGGGTAAATTTGAGATTATTGAGAACGAATTTGAAATCTACAATCTGTCTCTTTTACTTCAATGACTCTCAATGATTCTTGAATTGTAGTTCCTAAACTCTCTCTAAAGCCACTTCTGTTGCTACTGTTTTTGCCATAGAAACCTGTTTTTATAATGGGAAATGAATCCATTTTAAATACCAGGAAGTTACTCTACAGCCCCTTGAAATTTTCTGGACCGTGTCCGAGGATATCTTCTGCAACTTCATGTAGACCGTAGACGGTTGACCAAGGCCAAAGCTTCTCCATTAAGTAAAAACAATTCATGGTTAGATCCAATGTCAGGCGTAATATTATCTGAAATTGAAAAAATTTCCAAAATCCAAAAGAAAAAGAAGGGTTAATACCGTATTCCGTCTATTATATATGTTAACTTGTGAATATTTAATTTCCACTATAATTGCTATGAAGGTGTCTAAAAATAGTATAATTAATTTAGTCATCAAGTTTATAATAAATTATATAGCAGCTGCCATTGTTGAACTAGTTGATCAATCATTTCACTTCACCCAATCACTTATGCATAAAATTTTCTGCCATGTGGTATGCAGATGAGAAAGAAAACAAGCTTTTTGAAATAGAAAAAGACTATGAGTGAAAGATTCGTTTCACTTATAAGAAAGTTTTAGAAACAAGTTTATAATGATGGTTGTGTGTTATTCTTTGTTGGAGACAAGTTTATAGCAATGAAGTTTGCCACAAATTTCAAAGTTATTTGCAACTTGCTAATATAGGCCAATATTTTTTTTCCTGTACGTACCAACTACCAAGAAACTATGAAATTAACTACTGATGATTTTAATCAAACCAAATATGCCTGAGTTTGGAACCAATAGCAATGATGAGTACATATATATCACTTCTGTTTCTTTAATTTCTTCTTATTGATCTCGTCTTTGACGAGGTTGTACTTCCCTGAATCGGTTAACTTCTCCTCAACCATCTCGTAGACTCTTCCCAACAGACTGCCCAGAGGCTTTATTCGATCACCGTGCTTCGACAATATCACAGGAATTGTTGTACCCATCATAACACCTGCAGCAGCAATAACAACAACAGAAAATTTTAACATTGCACTTAATTTAATAGGGGGCTTTAGCCTAGCTAGTGCCTAAATTCTTTCTTCCTTACTCTTTGTTTTCCTCCCTACTAAACAATTATTGTTACCTCTACAAAGAGTTGGCAGATCAAGGAAGCTTCCTACATAGGAGAAAATTAGTAGAAAGGCAACCGTTTGTGGAAACACAAACCATCCTCTCTCAACATCTGTCACATGAAATAACAATCTTATTACTTTATCAGTCAGTTCCCAACAAGCGTTTGCAGTCTCCACAACAACCTGCTCTCGGATACTTTCCAATCTGGAACTGGTTGCTTCCTGTCTGATATTAAAAAAAAAAAGAACAGTGTCGGTCGGCCCTCTCAAAATTTATTTACAGTTTAAGATACAAGAAATGGGATTAAACTTAATTTGGAAATGAAACTACTTACTGGCCAAGATACCGATTTACATATCTCCAAATGAACAATGAAGTAACAATGAAAATGACCACCCATGAAGCAATAGTGAGAAAGTTGTATTCATAAACTTGCTGCAACAGCCATGTTGCAGTTGAGCCGAAGAGAAGCGATCCACTCAGCTTTTTTCTCTTCCATAGAGCTATATCGTTTACAATCTCTGCAAAGAAAAACAAAGGCGACAGCGTAAGGGATCGAGGGATAGGGATCAGATAGAGGTAAGGAACTGACCTCCAGGCTGAGACCGGACAATTGTCTCCAATAGGCTTTCAATCAGATCAAAAATAATACCACCAGTATTTTTTGCACCTGAATGAAAATCTTCAAGTATAATGTAAAAAAATATTGAAAACATTAGCTTCAGTTCGTCAACAGCATCCAAAATTTTTCTAGTATCCCCCAATATCATAACCGGAAAGAATACTTGCAACGTCGTTCGAATAGAATTATCCAGTTCAATGAGCTCTTTGGCCAACATGTACTTCTTCCAATAGTTCCATGAGCTTATCCCAGAGCATTTATCAACAGTTTCCTTGGCTTGATTCAACAGATTCAACAACCTGTGAATTTCCTGTTCA